TGATTACCAAAAAATTAATTTCAACGTGTCGTCCCCCCCCCCCTATTCTAAAAAACAATAATATCTGGGCTACATTGAGGCACTCACAATGAGTGAATGAATGAGTCAACATTACAATACTCACTGTTTCAATAGTATATAGCCATGAAATGTAAACAATATGTGTTAACATGATTTTAATGTAAAAAAAAATATTTACTAACCTTCTCTGTGTAAATTTATATCCAATTTTACAACTTAAATGACATGATAACCTGACACCTAAAACTCTAAAATGACGAATATAAGATGACGAGCACCTAAAATTACACGTTTTTAACAGAAAAATGACTGCAAGTGTTTTTGTAAAAACTTTAGCTTCACATTTCTGCTTTTAAAGGGGTGGTTGATTGCGATTTCACTTTTTTAACATTAGTTAGTGTGGTGTGTAATATTGCTTTTTGGGCATAAATAATAAGTGCAAAGTTACGAAGCTGAAAGTTCAATGCAAACGGAGATATCGTCTTTTAAAATTCTGGCAGTTTAATGCCTAGAAAAACGGCTGGTAGGGACTACAACAAGTTACTTCCCGGGTTCGTGACATCACAAACCCAGATAAACCCCGCCCTCGGGAAAAGGCAACAAAGGGGGCGAGGCCATGCTGCGCTGCTTTAGAGAAGAGGAATAGAAAACTAGAGGTTAGCTCAGCTCCAACAATGAATTGTTCCGATTATACACTTATTTTCACATAGCTATGAGAAGCGTTAAACATGGACGCGCGTGCAGTTGCCGTACTGTATTAAAGACAATTAGACATGCACTAGAGGCGATTTAACCAATCACAACACACTGGGCTAGCTAACCAATCAGAGCCCATCGCCTATTTCTAAGGGAGGGGCTTCATAAAAGCAGGAAATGATCAGCGCGTTTCTCAGAGAAGGAATAAAGGTAAATTATGTGAAGAATAATGCGTTTTTTAAAAAACTAAGCATTAACACATGTTAGACTGCACCCCATAAACACAATCAAGCCTAGAAAAAAAACAGTGAACCACCCCTTTAAATCCTCCAAAAATGGACTTAATTGTAAGTGCATCACCACAACCTGAATTTTTGAGGGACAATTAGAAAAATTTTTTTGAGGTAAACAACACTGTACCAAAAATGCTGTCAATTGAGCTAAATTTAATAAAATAAATTTAAAATACTCCATAAAAACTTTAACTAAAATAATAAATACATTTAAGTTGAAGCAATGAATTACTAAAACTAAAACTGAAATAAAATTAAAGCTATATAGAAATATTTTTTTAAATGATAAAACTGACATCACAAAATCACTAAAACTAAAATGAAAGCTAAAAATAAAATATTAATAAATACTATAATAGCATATTAAAAATACTAAAATTACAGTGGTTTGTGTGTGTGTGCTACCTGTGTAATGCAGGCCCCGGTGAAAGCTACGATGACGGCCACTACATTGACAGTAAGCTGAAACTGCAGGAACTTGGAGATGCTGTCATACACATTTCTCCCCCACATGACAGCCTTCACAATGCTGGAGAAGTTATCATCGGTCAGGATGATGTCAGAAGCTTCTTTAGCTACATCAGTGCCTGCTATACCCTGGAGATGGCAAGAGAGAGAAAGAGCAAAAGATTTAGGTACTGTAATACATGCATCAAAATCAGATTCATTGGAGAAAAGTGGCTTTTATCCACCGGAGATCTTCCTGTGTTATATTATACACCCTTGTTGGGTGAACATGATATAAGTAGAGCTTCTAATAAATCAATATTCATCTCCTACCATTACTCATCTCTCAACTACCTCTTGGATGGAAGGACGAATAATATGAATAGATTAGAGGGAAGTGTTCGTCAGATGTGCTTACCATCGCAAAGCCCACATCTGCCTTCTTGAGAGCCGGCCCGTCATTGGTCCCATCACCAGTTACGGCCACCACCTGTCTCTGCTCCAGCACAGTGCTGTCAATGATGCCTACACAATGGCATCATCACCCAGCAAACAATTACCAGCTAGCACATAACCTTGACCAAACACTGAATACAACTACTGTCACCACAGAACATGAATTCATCAGTCTGATACATTTTAATTGACTGTATGTTGCGCCCTACTGAGTGTCATATTTACATTGTAAATACACTCCTGCAACAGTCAACAATTTGGACACATTTTACTGAATTTCCATCACTGTTAAAAAAAATGGTTTGTTTTTTTGAAAGAAATACTTTTATTCAGCTAGGATGCATTAACTGATCAAAACGGACAGTAAATAAATGTATAATGTTACAAAAGATTTATATTTTAAATAAATACTGTTCTTTGGAACTTTTTATTCATCAAAGAATCCTGAAAAAAAAAATCACGGTTTGCACAAAAATATTAAGTATATTGACATTTTTAAATATTAATATTTGCATTATTTCTTTCAATATTAATAATATTAGGTATAAAATATTGTTTCTTGAGCACCAAATCATCATATTAGCATGATTTCTGAAGGATCATGTGACACTGAAGACCGGAGTAATGGCTGCTGAAAATTCAGCTTTGCCATGACAGGAATAAATGCATCTTTGGTGAGCATAAGAGAACATTAAAAAATCTTACTGACTCCAAACTTTTGAACAGTAGTGTAACTTTCTCATGGTCTTAAAACCTTATAATCTAGATGTCAGTTTGTTGTGATTTGTGTAAAGCTGCAGTCAAAGGGTTACAACTTTGAATCTATAAAAAAATCTATAAAAAGTAAAAAACTATTTAAAATATAAATATAAAATATAAATATAAGTTTAACAATTTTGGACACTACATAATTCCCAAACCATACATGGTAGGGTCCAGTAAGATTCAAGCGAGAATTATTAGTATTTTACCTTTTACGAGTGTGTGTTTGTCCGTGGGGGAGGAACGTGCAAGGACTCTGAGTTTAGGCCAGATCTTATCAATCCTCTCCTGCTCAATCTATAACACAATCACACACACATGCACGTACACAGAGCACGGACATTCATGATTCAGTTTAGTCTGTATTGGTTTGGCGCTGAGATGTCTGAGATTCAATTTTCACGAACCTCTCCTTTCTCATTCCTGATTCTTCGGTTGAAGTCTTTACCCTCCAGGCACAGAAAGTCATCCCCGGGCTGAATGATGCCACACTTGGCAGCAATAGCTCGTGCTGTGTTGATGTTGTCGCCGGTGACCATGCGCACAGTGATGCCTGCCCTCTGACACTTGCGAATGGCTTCAGGGACCTGCGGGAGGAGCAGAGAAATGCTTGAAAAGAGAAAACGCATTCCAAGAATACAGGAAACATGTTCTCACTGCATACTGTACCTCAGGTCGAACGGGATCCTCGATCCCAACAACTGCGATGCAGGTCAGATCGGTGACAATTTCAGCTTCGTTATCCCATTCAGGCTCGGGGTCGCAGGGAAGATCACGATAACCAATGCAGATGGTTCGCAGGCCTTCACACGCCATGGGCTCGATCACTTTCTTCACCATCTCATCTCGGTCCCGTGGCTTGAAGCTACGTGTTTCCCCATTGGCACCAAGTATCGAGGAACACCTGAGGTAGAAGAGAAAGCACGAAGGACAAAAAGAGGTGTCTAATGACAACCAACAATGTTACGGTTTTAATTCCTACTGTAGATCTTGTTGTGGTTTACTAACTTTTTCAGAAGGATCTCAGACGCTCCTTTGCTGTAGAGCCGGAAACTTCCATCCGGCATCTGCACCACAGTGCTCATGGACTTGCGTACAGAGTTGAAAGTATAGACTTTGTAGAGTTTCTCCTCTGGGATTTGCTCTCTCACAGGGACGTAGTCTCTCTTCAAGTTCAGAAGGAAGCCCAGCAGACCACACTCTGTCTTATTACCAACCTGCTTGGGCAGACCACCTTCCACATCCGGTGGCTGAAAGAGAATTGAAATGAAGCAAGAGACACGGAGGAGAGAAAATGAAAAGAACTGGACTGAAGACGTTTCTATTTATATTTGACAAGCCAGTACAACAGTAAATTCTTAATAGGCTAACAGAGCTTCTCTCCTGAAAAATAAATCTTACCAGCCAAAGCTGGCATGCTGGTCTCTCAGCCAGAACTGTAAATTTTTTTTTGTAATTTTAGCAGTAATATACTGTAAAAATACTATGGTACTATCTGTTATTTGGTTAACAAGCAAGTTTACTTACTATACATGGTGAAAATCTTTAATAGGGGACAATTTAAGTAATTTTACAGTAAATTACACATCACAATTAAAAGAACCAAAGACTTAAACTACTTCAGTCTGTATGCATTGAATTTATTTAATACACGAGTTTCACAATTTGAGTTGAATTACTGAAATAAATGAACTTTTCCACGACATTCTAATTTATTGAGATGCACCTGTATAATATATAATACAGGTACAAAACAGACAGAATAGGATGAAATATTAACATTATATCAATTAATGGAATATACCATCATTTGTTTTTTACAGTAAATTTAAGTTCATTCTGTAACCCTAAAATTGTGCTACCATATTTTTTATAGTAAAGTTCTGGCAAACCCTGCTGTGTGTTTTATATGTAAAATGAACAGATTACATGCAGGTAACTTGGTTCAGCTGGGAGTCCAGCTAGACCATCTGAAGACCATTTCAGCCAGGGCTTAACCAGCTAAAACTAGCTGGATATAAACTTTTCTATCTTTTTTTTTTTTAAATTCATCATATCCAATCTCTTACCATGATCTTGGAGGTATAGGCGCAGTTGATAGATATGGCATTGACAATCATCTCTAGGGTGATGGGGTTGATCTGGCTGGGGTCTGGGATCTCACGGAAGTGCTGGTCGTTGAGGTAGGCCTGCACTACAGTCATGCGGTTGGTGGTGAGGGTGCCGGTCTTGTCAGAGCAGATGGCAGTGGCGTTGCCCATTGTCTCGCAAGCATCCAAGTGACGCACTAGGTTATTGTCCTTCATCATTTTCTGAATTAACAGCAATAGAAGATTTGGGTGGTGAAAAACTGTGTTGACAAAAGCAAAACATGCTAAAAATAATACATGAAAAAACATCCAGAGAAAAATGTGTTTATTTTGTTAAAATTTGCTTATGTAGTCTGTTAGCTCTACAATACATTTCATTTGCTGTTTACACACACACACACACACACACAGTGCACCTGTTCTCTCTCACCTTAACTGAATAGGCCAGGGAGATGGTAACAGCAAGTGGAAGACCCTCAGGCACAGCTACCACAAGCACAGTCACACCGATGATAAAGAATTTGACAAAATACTGCACGTAGATGGGCGTGCACTCAGTCAACCAGATCCGCCCCTCCACCACAAACGTCTCAATCACAAAGTACAGCACCAGGATGATAACTGTAATGGCTGACATCACAAGACCTTCAAATAAAACAGTATAATAAATAAAATAAATCTTCAGGATACTTGCAGATCCATCTATAGTCAGTCAATTGACTATAAATAACAAATAAAGTAATGCATTATTACTTATCAAAATTACAGTACAATATCTGATTAATTTCTAATTATTTAATTTATTATGCAACATAAAAATAGGGGAATATTTCTGTCTTTTTTATGATAATTATTTGTGTGCATCATAAACAATTGTGATTGTAAGTGAAAACATGTATGCTTAACATGTTACTTTTCATTACAAAGTTAAATTGGTTGGATATGTAACCTGAAGGTAGCACAAATTGTGAATATGGGTTACCATACTTGTCACAACACTTTCACTTTTTCACTTTCAGTTAGTGCTTCTGCTTAGTTAACAGTGAGAAAATGTTGCACAAAAGTAACTTAACACATAAAATTTCATAACAAGTAGCAAATTCAATAGTCAGCACTTCTCAATAATGCAAGAATATGTCAAATTAAAATGTTACATTCCATTAAAATAACAATGTAACACAATCAGCTGGTACTTCCTCTGAGTTAATACTGAGAAAATGTAGCACAAAATCTAACACGTTACGTCCCATAAAAAAGTAACAGCAGTAAAAAATATATAACAAAAGTAGTGTGTTACATTTCATAACAAGTAACAATGTAACACAATTAGCGAGGGCTTCCTCTTAGTTAACAGTTAGAAAATGTAGCACAAAATGTAACATGTTACTTCCCATAAAAGTAACAAAAGCACCAAAATATATAACAAAAGTAACGTGTTACTTTTCATAACAAGTAACAATGTAACACAATTAGCGAGGGCTTCCTCTCAGTTAACAGTGAGAAAATGTAGCACAAAATTTAACTTTACTTTCCATACGAAGTAACAAAGTAATACAACTAATCAGCACTTCCTCTCAACTAATTAAGAGAATATGTACCAAAAGTAAGACAATGTTACATTCCATAAAAATAACAATGTAACATAATTAGCAAGTATTTCAGTTAACAATGAGAAAATTTAGCACAAAAGGAATTTAACATGTTACTTTCCACTAAAAATCTAGTACAAATAGTTACTTTTTTACAAATAGTTACTAAGAAGTAATGGAACACTGTCACAGTAACATTTTGCTTCAAGTAACATTCTTCAACACTGAATATAGCTTTGTATGTGGATAAAAAAATAAAAGACAATAGGATCAGCACAGCAGAGTGTAAGTGTGTCAGAGTGAGGTGATTTATCTTTCCATATGACATCACCTCGTAATTGGCCACATGAAGTCCCACGCACCTGCTTTGCCAATCTGTACAGCCAGTTTGGTGAGTTTGCCCTGCAGTACAGACTTCTCCTTCTTGGGCACGTTGGATTTTTTCTTCTCTCTCTCCTCCACTTCTCCACCCTCCGCACTCTTCAGAGGCTGCATCTCCATGGCAACGGCTCCATCCTGCTTTTTGGCTGGTGGGTGGGACATGAGTTAGCGTCACTACATAAGGACAACAAATCTGTCGTGTCACAACTCAGAGGCATCGTGAAAGGCCTCCGGCATGAACGAGACTCATTCAAAGCTCTGAATACCTTCATGCCACACACTGAATATTTACGCCCAAAGTGGTATACACACATACACTGGACACACAACGAAGGAAAGCAAGACAAATGTGAACACGCACAGCATAAACATTGACGTCGGTTAGAGTTCTCGAGTTCGACAGAGCTGGCACTATTCAGCAAAATGTGTTTGGGTGCTTTTTCTCGACACCCGAAACAATGAACTACGGTTACAATGTACTAAGCAAGGAAGTGGTCGTCATGTATGCCGTTGAGCAACCGAGTGTGATGTTACACAAAGAGCGTGTTTCTGCCTCTTTATGTATATGGTTGTGTGCATACATGGTATTAGCAATTATATTTCCTGTTGCTATCCTCATATAGCAACAGCGTAACTAAGGAGCCCACATAAATGTTCCACAACAAGAAAATAATTAACCCCTCATTCTCTCCATTCATCTACTCTACTATCCCTGTGGTACCTTTATTCTGATTGGACTCCACAGCTGCCTCTGGCTGCTTGCCTGTGAGAGAGAAAGACAGAGAAAGAGAGAGAGAGAGAGAGAGAGAGAGAGAGAGAGATAGAGGGGGAACAAGGGAATAAAAAGCGACAGACAGAGACAGAATGAGAGACAGGGCACACAGTGTTCTTGAGTGGGGAAAATGAGAGTGCACAGAACTATGGAAACAGACACACAAGTGCAAACATACGGCACACACATTGAGCTGAGCTCTTAAACTATGACATGTTAAACCTGTGAATGCGCTCCGCCACAATTCTGGGCTAATCCGACTCTATTTAGTGCTTATTGTAGTCACTTCATCTATGCTGAAGGTGATCTGTAACTCCAGTGGACTTAAAACAACAGGGCTGTGGATTACGTACCATTGGTGATGCCACTCGGTTTGGCCATAGTTGTTAGTGAGTAACTACTGTCCTCTGATTGGATAGCGAAACAAAGGGATAGTGCAGGTGTGGAGGAAGGGGATCGTGGGAAATTGTTAGGATTGGGTGGTGGTAGAAGTAAGAAAAAAGACAAATTAATGATGATCATGTGGTATTAAGGGAAACTGAAAAAAGCCAAAACTGCATGCACGTAGGTTGTTAATATGAAATTACAAGTACTGACAGTACTTCATCAGTGAGATGTTCCTGCAAGATGATTCTGTTTCATGTAAAAGATTGTTTTCTAATTCTTGTGTAACAGTTATTTGAGCTGTCAACATTCTAGTTAAATTAGTAAATTAGTCATCTAGTTAATTAAGCGTGATTAATTATCAGCAAAGATTCACAAGCTACAGAATGTAACTGAACGGAGGGATCTTAAGATGTGTTTTAACTACATTTCACTTTTAGTGTCCTAAAATACAGCACTCCTGGGGCAAGATGCTGAAAAACTGTTAAATACAGAGCAACGGACAGAGATATACAGTAGATCAATAATTTAAAAAATACTGCAGAAAGAATAAAAGCTAACATCTAGTGTGAATCTACTTTGTTAAGCAAACAATATATTGATCTACTCAGTGAGTTACTCTTATATAATGTCTATTAATTACCATGATTTGGGGGCTTCGCTCAGCAAATATTTATATAATAGTTAACTAAAACTAAAGCTGAAACTAAAAAAAAAAATGTTACTTGAAATAAAATAAATGTTAACTGAAATAAAATAATATAATAAAACCTTTTTTTTATTTAAGCTAGTTGCCAAGGCAACATTTGTCGTTTTAATTTAGTCTACTTAATTTATTTTTAATTTAGCTAAACTAAAACTGAAATATAAATATATATTAAAACTATATACACATATTTAAAAACAACTACTAAAAATTACAAAAACAACAAAATAACTAAAATGTTATTGTGATTAATCAACACATTGAGTAATTATTTTATTAATTTATTGATAGCCCTAATTGTTATACATGTATTTTTTTATGGCCTCCTGTTAATTGAATATTCAACATAGCATATTTGTATTTAAAAAAATTCACACTGCAGGACTGCAAAAATCTTTGAAGGGTGAAAAAAACTAAATATACACTATCCCTCATGCATTCATATAGATTTTAACTTCAAATCTTAAATAGTGAATAAAAAAGGGTTGTTGACATTATTTGTCATACTGTATGTGCATTCTACTAATCTACAATTATGGGTATCAGAAAAGATGTATAAATATTCCAAATCACTTTTGCAAAAGCAAAAAAGACAATTGTGAGGCAGTTTTAAGTCCGTTCGGTGGCTGATGACACATGTAGAGCGATTCAGTGGGACAGTAACAGAACATGGCACCACTTCATCCTTCATCCACCCACATCCAACCTTTGCTCTCCCTCTCTCCGTTTCTCTCTTTCGTTCCCTTTCTCTGAATAATTAATCAGCCTCCTCCAATATAACTCCTAATCCTTCTCTATTCCCTTCACTCCAGTCTCCTCTCTGTTGGCTGCAGGTTAAATTACCCATGACATGGGCCATAAAGTTTGCAGAAGTGGAGCTCTGCTTGTCTCTCTTGCTCGTCTTACCATTCATAAATATTCCTGCAGGCTCCGAGCCCACTGGTCCTCCATTCATATCCAACCCATCTCTCTCTTATGTAAGGATCTCCCACCCCCTCTCTCTCCATTCTCCACTGTCTGCTAGTGCTACTCACAACGTGTGCAGTCATTCTCACTACATCCTACACTAGCCTCAGCATTTTCTCTGAGTATTACGGTGTGTCTTGGTTGGCGTTTGATGCTCTTACTTCTTACACCTACCTTTCTTCTCTTTCTTCTCCTCCTCCCCTTCCCCGGCTCCCAGCAGAGTGAATATGATGCCACTCTGAGAGTTGACTCCAACTGCGGTCACCAGCATCCTGCCTGATCCCTCCATCACATGGGTACCTGAGAAAGAAAGATTGAGAGAGAGATAGACAGATTTAGGAAAAGGCTTTCCCAAAAAGACTCATGGCTGTATTAGATTAAAAGGGTGCTTCTACTAAATACTGAGCATTTTTCAGTTTTTCTTTTTTAATAAATTTGCAAAAATGTCAACAATTCTGTGTTTTTCTGTCAATATGGGGTGCTGTGTGTACATTAATGAGGAAAAAAAATTAACTTAAATGATTTTAGCAAATGGCTGCAATATAACAAAGAGTGAAAAATTTAAGGGGGTCTGAATACTTTCCGTACCCACTGTATGTAGACGAATGATTGATATTTAATTGCAGCAGAATTCTGCAAATGTTGTCCCAACTAGCCTCATAGAACTAGTTTAAATAAATGATTTCCTATTGAACAATGTGGCTGATTTGTGACCTCCCAGCATGCACTGCAGCATCAATAAATTATGTTCTACCCTTCTGTTTCAAAGATTGTCACTTCATATTAAGAGTCAATCTAAAACTACATGTAAGATTAAAATCATGCCTTTTATATTTATGCCAGGAAATAAATTTATAATGTCTAAAAAAACAACACATTAAAATCATTTTAATTATCTTGTAAAGTGACCTAGAACTTAGTAATAATGTTATGTACATGTAAAACTTTTTTTCAAAGCTCAAGTTAATTTTAAAAGAATGTAACACATCTTCTATAATAATAACAATGTCTAAATGACAACACTAGTTTAATTTAAGAAAAAAGAAACTGACCAATTTCTATAATAATAATAATAATTTATATAGCACTTTTCCAAAGTTCAAGTTTGGTTTAGAAAAAACCCATATAATTAAAAAAATTCTTAATCTATAATTGCCTTGACAAGAATCTACTGACTGAATAAGACATTTTACATTTAGTGCACAAATTCAAAGTAGCGTCACCGAAGACAGTTATTACGACAGTTGTTGCAGTTCATATTTCTGTGATTATTTTCACATTTTCTCAACAATTCATTTAGACATTGACTATTTATCTACAAATATAGACAGTCTGGCCTGCTGCAGTACACCATTAGCATTTGACTCCAGACCGCGCACAACAACAGCCTCCATACATCAACTTCACAAAAATATCATTGGGATATTATTCAATAATATCATCAGTAGAGTAGGACGGCCTCATAAAGAGAATGGAGTTATCATCCCATGTGTCTAAGAATAGCATGGAGGAAGGGAGAGGGCATGCACCAGTGCTCACAGCAGGAAACAGAGATTCTCAGATCTAATTAACAACATCTGGATGCCACTGCAGCATCTCAGTTATTCTGACACACAGAATGCGGACGCTCGGAGTGCTTTGTGCTGCTGACTGACAGCTGACGGAGCGCAGCCGAGAGGAGAATACAAAACTACTGTAGACACTTTCAAGAAAGGTTGACCAGTCTCTTAAGGAAAGTGATGGGCATCAACCTTTAACAATGATTTTACTTTAATTCACAGCAAGTTTTTTGCTACGAGTCTAAAGGCCTATTCACACTAAGAATGATACCTATACAGATAACAATATTAGCATTCACACCTACAGACAATAATGTTCTGTTTATTATAAGTGCTGCAGTTACTGTATGTTGTCTGTCACTTTAAATGCTCAAGCTCTTTAAAGTCAGTGGATTCTGACTGACTTTCAATGTTTTTATTGTTCATGAGCAGGAAAAATGTCCTTAAAATGATTCCAGGGATTGATATTGTTATAGCTTGGTTATGGACTTTTAAACAATTATCTAGGCATTAGGCAATTATTAAAACTTTATAGGTATAGTTATTGTTATCATCTCTGTGTGAACAGGCCTTGAGACTTTATTTATAATCTTAAAGGTGCAATCAGCAATTTTAGCTGCTTCGCTAACTAAATTTTGTTAACTTCCACCACACTGACTGCTTTCTAAACTCCTCCCTCCAAAGTCATGTCCACAAATCCAAATGTAAAAAAAACTTTTTGCAGACATAAAGCATTTATGATTGGCTAGTTTTATGATTGGCTCAAATAATGTGGGTCACTCCCTCCAGGTGGAGTTGGGAAGCTCATTGCACCACTGAGTTACAATTAAAGTTAAAATTCATTGTTAAATTAAATTGGCTTACACCAGAGGATTTCAGACGTATGGGGTGCTTAATTCCTTACCTAATTTTGTGGATCAAAGAAATATCTCTTGCTTAAAGGTTGCAAGAGATTGTTTGACTGACGATATTTAAATATAAATCAAAAATTGCATCTCTCATTAAAATGTACATCAGTAACGGTACAGTAACTTTATTAAGGATTTTTAAATGTAAATAAAAAATTGCGTCTCATTAAAATGTACATCAGTAATGGTGCAGTAACTTTACTTTGAGACCTCATTGGAACTAGGGCTACACAATATTGAAAAAACAACTGACATTACCAGTATTTTATTTTTCTGTGATATACAGGCAGACATTTTTACTAGACAACTAGGTACAGTATATTTGGAAAGAAGTAATCATTCTAGAACGTTGATTTTGTTAGGGATTGCAGAACATAAAAACAATTTTTAAAAGCTAAAAAATAACGTTTTTGTGTGTGAAGTATCTGTTCAAATCCTCTTTCATAACTTCTTTCAATGACCATAAAGTGAACAGTTAAAAAACTCTGTCCACTTGTTTTCATAGGCCACATACCCACTACACATTCAATAATACTATAAAATAATAACAATCATTATTTAATAGGGTAACGTTTTATTTTAAGGTGTCCTTGTTACACATGTTACATGTACTTACTATTATAATAACAATAAATTATGCATAATTACATGCAAGTAACTCTAAGCCAAACCCTAATCCTAACCCTAACCATATAGTAAGTACATGTAGTTAATTAATATTACTCAGTACTTATACATTTATAAAATAAAGTGTAACCCTTAATTGAGATTATTAAATAAAATATTAAACAATATAATTCTATTGTACTATAAAATAAAAAAACAAGTATGTAATAAAATCATTTATAGCACAATTGTAAACTTATAATAGTTACTATTTTCAACTTAATTTCTTCGTTTTCAGATGTTAAAGCTTTCATTTTGACTGAATGCAGGCAAATAAATAAATGTGCTGTGAGTTTTAGAGTGAAGCACAACACTGTGTTCATAAAGTGCATGATTCATTCAGGCTTCAGGTTCTCAGAGCAGTTTTACTGTGAACCGAAACACACAGAAACTGTAATCATTTTGAAACCACCATTACATATGGTCTAGCAATCTACTGTATGATCCACACATATACGCATGCTTACCAGAGAGAAGCATGGGGTCCTTGTCGGCCGACTTCCGCACATGATCTGATTCACCGGTTAAAGAGCTCTCGTCGATTTGCAGGTCATTTCCCTGAATCAGGACCCCATCAGCAGGTAGGAGGTCACCTGAGAGAGGAAACAAAAGTGGGACAAATAAATATCCCGTGATCAGTAGAGCATCCTTAATATGCCAAAAAGCATTCACTGTTCCTACCAGTAATGCTACATTGCACAGAGTACATTATCAACAGATGAGTTCCCATCGTGATTTGTGGAAATGTGGACATTACTCTAAAAAATACCCCTGTGTTATTCCACACCTTCCTCATATTAGATGAGTTAAGCCTAATCGCAGCATTTATACCATTCTCCGGCCTCAGCAGAACAGGAAACTGACCGTATTTGACCTGGGCCATGTCCCCAACCACCATCTCGGCGACGGGGATCTGGATGACGTTTCCATTGCGCACCACAGCGAATCGCTGCTCCAGCTCGATGCGGCTCTGCAGTCCCCGGAACTGTTTCTCTTTACTCCAGTCGTTGAAAGCCGTCACCAGCACCACGCAAATGACGGAGAGTAGGATGGCTGCACCTTCGATCCATCCTGCCTCTGCCTCCCCCTCATCTTCAGCTCCTCCTGACCCATTTCCACAACCTGCAGAGGTTAGAAGTTCATTATTACATGGGCGTCTGGAATACTTGATTCTGATTGATCAATTGCAGTTGATGCTTTTTGTTGGGAGCAATGCTTTCCAGATGAAGCGCTCTTTGACAGACTTCTTGGAGACGTACGTGTGCTATCTGGGACTTGGTCCCCAGCTGAGATTACTTTTAATGGGCAGGCTTTTTGGTGCCTGATTAGAAATTATAGAGCATGTATTTATTCTTAAACATCAAAATATGCTAATTAATGTCATTTAAACATCACATCAAAGGCATTAAACATAACACATTATATTACATAAGCAAAAAAATTCTTTCAAATTCTTTGTTTTCAGTTTGCAAGCTAACAAGCATAGCACAATCTGGTTAAGGAAAGCTCTTTTGATTAACTAGACTAAGATATCATGATAACACTTATTTTGCAGATACTGAGATAAGCATTTCTTTAATGTCTTTCGATTTGCTCTGTGGTCTCTTTCTTGTTTCATACCAAGTTTCAAGTTTGCCATCTTGCAACTCAGAATGATTAGCCGACTGACAAGCTTGTGTGCTTCATTATTTATTTATTTATTTTAATATCTACACACATCAATTTTAAAGTTTGGGAAAATATTCTTAAAGAAATTATTACTTTAATTTGAGCAATTAAATTGACAGTTAAATGGATTAAACTGACATTAAAAGTAATTTATAATGTTCTGAATTAAAAGACCTTAAAGAAATGTTAATGTCAATGTCTGAGAAAATGCAGTGTTATCATGATATCTTAAAGAATCTGAAAAAAAATTAACAAAATATTTCCACAAATATATGAAACGTCTCGGTTACGTATGGTAACCCTCGTTCCCTGAAGGAGGGAACGGAGACGTCACGAGACGGGCTGGGTAGCTCTAGCCAGGCTCCCAGACACCGCGCAAGTGGCATCAACGGAGCTACAGGCGTACCCGCAGTGAGGCAGCACGGAAGAACGCAGGGACCCGGCCCGGGCATCCAAGCGAGATCCCAATTCGTCGGTCATCCGACGTGACGTTGAGAGTGACCGACTGAAAGGGAACAGCAAATTTTCAACATAAATAATACTAAGAAATGTTTCTTGAGCACAAACATTGCTGCCTTTACTGTATTATTGATTAAATGCAGCCTAGGGTGAACATAAAATACTTTTAAAAACATTAAAAAAAAAAAGTTTGAATGGTAGTGTATGATGAGCATAAAACAGTAGATGATTAGATGCTCAGCAGTCCCCAGTTAAAGCAAGAAAACAAAAATATCACTTTGAATAACAACAAACTGGTAAGAGACAAAAAAACTGAATTAAAAAAAAAACTTTAAAATAGCTGAAGATTTTACATTGCAGCTAAATATGTTATAGAAAAACTTATTTGGACCGCAGATTAATATTAATATATGAATTAATGTTGTAATACTGTTGCAGTGTTTGTCTTGCTGGAAGATACAAGAGAAAATGAGAAAAAAACCATTCAAATCAGTATTAAATGTTAGTAAATATCCATGTAATTAATAGAATAATGTGCAGTAAGGCTGGTGATATTTAAAAATGGACCCTTTCAGAAATCTGTTCACCCTGCCAGAGTTTATTTTCAATAATGCTCAGCTGGTTGTACATTATCCCTTCTTTATCCAGAGTGACATTTAGGTTATGCAGCACTCAAAATTGTATACAACTTTCAGAATGTTTTACTGTTTATTTTTCCCCAGCATCCCTAAACTGCTTTTCTCTTTCTCTGCATTCCTGCTTGACATCCTCTTTTCTCACTCCATTTTCTCACCTTCATTCTCACCTTTTTCCTCCCACACTCCCTTGATTCAGTTCTCTCTGTCTTCCCTCCCACTCTCTATCCGTCATTCCCTCCTCCCTCGGCCCACACCATCCCTTTAACTCCCTTCCTCTACACACCTCATCCCTCTAACATCCCCGTGTAGCTTCCCTCTCTCTCTCACCCTCGCTCTCGTGTCCGGGTGGCTGATAGAAGGACAGGCCGAGGGAAATGATGGCTGCAATCTCCAGGATGATGAGGGTGACGTCTTGTAATGCCTCCCACACCAGCTGAAGGAAGGTCTTGGGCTTTTTCGGGGGTATGAAGTTTTGTCCAAATGTCTGTCTGCGCTTCTCCAGATCTGTCGGGTTATCTGACAAACCTGAAAGGAAAAGAAGAAGAGTCAAACAGAGGTCATCACAATTCTTTTGTAATGCGTGGGCACTCTCACCCTCAGGGCAATGAGTAGGATATACCATTAAGGAACTTAGTGTGCCTCTCTCATCTCAGAGCCTGGGACTTTCCTGTTAGGGTTCGAAACATCCTGTACATTTGGCTTTACCCAATGCAGGACACACTGTTTTTAAACAGTCATTAAGAATGAGGTGCTTGTGTTTGCTATCTGCAGTCTGGCTCTTGAAGTAAAATTAATTTTAATTGTCTTTAGCCCTAATGTCTTTTGGCAAGAAGCATTTTTGACCAAACTAATGTCTTTTGACAAGGGTACTATAAAGTTTTACTGATAAATCCTTGATATCTACCTAATGACGAGGCCATGCAGCCTGGGTGCGATTTGTTAAAAAAAAAAACAGAGGGATATTTGAAACAGAATGTCAACATTGAAAATTTAATGAAGAAATTTATAATACAGTGTAATTAATATAAAATACAAAAAATAATTGTCTAAACTGAATTAACTAAATTACACATTTTAACATTTAACTTACTGATTATAAATTTATTCATATAATTATAATTTTCAGGCTCCATGAGGTTCATATTAAGATACCCTAGTGAAAAATAAATATACTAAAATATATTTGAAATACATTTATTTCATGCTAAGTATACTACAAAAACAGTAGGTATTTAATAAAAATACTCTGCAATTGTATTTTTTGGTATACTAAACTGGTCTACTTAAAGTCTGCTAAATTTAAACAACTAATTTTGTGTTTAATGCACTTTAATTGTACGGAAGTAGTGCTGAAGTCCAACTAAAGATATACTGAAGTATATTTTATTGTGCTAAAGTGGAACTATTGCAAGTATACTTTAAATATCTTGCATTTAAAGACCGATATTATTCAAAGATCATACAATCCTCATCAATAGTGACCTTAAAACACATTTTAGGCTTAATATTAAGAAATGTGCATTGTGCACAAGTAGTTCTTCAAATAAAGTTTAATTATGATATATTTATATCAGTAAGCTCCGAGCAATATGTCAGTAAATAGTTTTGAACTATACTTAGTATGAAATAAATGTATTTTAAATATATTACTTTTTACTATGGTAAGCTGTAAAACCTTCTGAACACATTTCAGCCATCTATCCCGACAAATTTGTATTATTTTATTCCATCATAGTCCAGCATAAGATGTAATGTTGTGCACGTTTTACTAGGTTGCTTGCAACACTGAAAATACAATTTGTAACACAAGGCCATCACATACTACCAGACTTTCATATTGAACACAACAAATTCATGCAGAAACATGCACCTTGTTGCTAGGAGACACATGACAGATGAAAACAATATGTGTTGAAAACAACATGTTTGATATCCTCTGACTGGATGGAATCACAATCTGAAGCTTAAAAAACAGTGTTTGCACATCATACACTATGCACTTTTCTGTGAACCGTAACAATAAGTAATAACTAATAAACAGCACTAATTATTGCTTTTATTGAAGAATATACATTTCTTGAAACTTCTTGAAAAATCACAAAACGAATTGTGTCATTCATTTAATATATCAATCAATATCAATTCAATATATCTTAATTTCCATTAATAAAAAAGTTGTCATAATTACAGTATATTGTGTTGGAACTGTGTTCAGAAAGACTGAAAATAAGCTAGCTGCCAAATAAAATTTGCTAATGTGTGAATAAGTAGCCGTCTGAATTCCTGTTTAGTGAAATGCATGCATTGACATCCATGTTGTTCCATGTTCCATGTTGTGCTTTGCATTTATATTTATGCATTTTGGCAGACACTTTTATTTGAAGCGACTTACATTGCATTCAAGGTGCACATTTACATTTGATCAGTTCTTGCTTTCCCAGCAAATCAAACCAATGACCTTAGTGTTGCTAGCGTCATGCTCTACTGTTTCAGCTACAGAACAGATATTTTAAAAAATTCAAGGCTTCAGAAAAGGCTTTCAAAATGTCACATCAAAGTCAACATATTAACTACTCTAGCATTTTATAGGCCAATTGTCACTGAACACACAAACAAATGTAGTGGGGAAAGATGCAGCCTAACTCATGTGTAAAACGTTAACTTTCTGTTTACAAGGTTAATATTAAGGTGAACATTGCACAGCGGTTTAGGTAAGAGTTATGCAAATACTAAACTGAACTAGTGAAGCCATTTGTAGTTAAAGAAAATTTTAAAATGCTGTTCCAAAAGTCACCATTATATTGGTGCCTTTTTACCAAATAAGCACAAAAAAAAAAGAAGAGAATCATGGTAGTTTTTTTCTAGTCTATCACCAGTCCAATTTGGACCAAGCCAATACTTACAGCTTGGAAAAATTGTATATGAATAGAGTTCACAGATTCCGACAGTGAACAACTCCAATACCATTTCACACAAAATTGCACACACACGCACGCACGCACGCACACACGCGCGCACACGCACGCACACACACACACACACACTCGCTATCTTTAAATACACCATAGAGCTAACTGACACCTTTAATAGCTTATGCACTGCTTCCCTTTCCTATTATCACCACGCATTCAAACAACACATTTAGCCATCTTACAATCTCAAAGATTCAAATGAGGGTCACTAAGATGAGATGAATAACACAATATATTGCATGTGTGTACGATACAATAAAACATAACCAACTGACCATAATGACCCAAGCGTATTAGAATGTATCGACTTGTTAAAGCACATTGTTCCAAAGTAAGAAGCGATGCGAGTCGGCCTGATAAGAAATCAGGAAGGGGGCCAACACTTTTTCACACCACTGTATATTGAATTTCTGATGTAAATAATTCATCGCATGTTTCTGCTCATTTTAAAGGGCTCCTATACAGAATGAGAGGCTGAGAGAAGACAGGAAGGATGAAGAGAAATGGATATGAAGACACGAGACACACTGTGTTTAATGTGCCCAGTGCCCCCCTTTCCCCAGCCATCTATGTCTTTCAGTCTTTCTCTTACTCTCGCTTTCAGTCTTTCATAGATTGGTGCAGTTTCCATGGTGATGAGGACATCAAGCACAAATCGTGCTGCTCTTCAACTTCCTGTCTTCGGGCACCTTTTCGCCCAGCTACAGATGATGTCATTGATTCGGTGTGGTCCGCGTGAGCCTTATAATAGATTTTTGATTGGTCTGCTGTGGAAGCTGTTTTTGCAGACAGTGAGTCTTTTAGAGCCTGAGAGAAAATTCATGATGTTTTCAGTCAGTGTTGAAGTCAGTGGAGTCACCCAGAGTGAAACCCAGAATTACAGCTCAGCTGAATGAGGCACTACTGACGTCAGTCTATGAGTGTGCGGTGAACATGCTTCAGGGACGGATAAGGACAGGACAATCCAACCAGAAAATACTTTAAGTGGACAAAGGAGGAATGTATGGGCTGGTATGTATACCGCCACTGAGTCAGAGCATCAGGTCGACTGTTGGCAAGAGCTCCTGCGGTTATACTGTACACTGATCACAGTCACTCCATACCAGCACTCAGCATTGACCTTGCCATTACCATTACTGAATGCATGATTATACAACACTCTACATGAGAAGTGGACGTATGAATGAAAGACAAAGAGAGAGAGAGAGAGAGTCAGGAAAGACAGAAGATGAATGAAGATGACAAACTCATGCTATCTGAAGAAGGTGTTAAAGGGACAGTGCACCTAAAAATAATAACACTTCGGTAACACTACAACATTAGTTAACATGGACTTACAATAAACAATTCTTCTACAGCATTTATCTGTAAATCTGTCATTTACTTACCATCATGTTGTTCAAAACCTGTATTACTTTATGTCTTTCTGATATTTTGCAGAGAAAGTTAGACTCTTTTATTTATTTATTTATATATTAATTTTAAATTTGATAAGAAGTAAAATGAATGGGGACCTTTCAAGCTTCAACAAGGACACAAAGGAACCATAAAAGTATCATAAAGTGATCTATACAAATCATGCACTGTATTCCAAGTCTTTTGAAGTCATATGATTTTTCAATTATTCATTGAAAATATTCCTAGCTCTACTTGACACATGAGAAAAGCTAATGTCTGATTTGAGAAGTAATGGGTTTTTAAACAGACCTTTTCAGTGAATTGACTGATCGATTGGACTGATTCGTTCATGAATCAGACTAAATTAGCTGACTCACTAACTGGTTCCAGCGATAAACAGATCACCAGAGAGATAAACAAAATGAAATTTAAGTGATTATTCACTGAAAATCTCACCTAGATCTCCTTAGCACAATTATGAGAGAAGCAGTCCGATTTGTGAAGGAACTGTTTTCCTGAGTCAGATCTTTTCAGTAAACTGAATGATCCAAATGATTCGGACTGATCAAATACACAAAATCAGTCTAAATGATTTGTTCATGATCGCTAGAGGAGATTTTGGTCTGTTCCTCACAAAGCTGTTGCATGATTTCAGAATATTGTACAGCAAACATCATATGGACCACTTTTATGATACTTATTTTTGAAGCTTTAAAGTTCCAGTCTGTAGATAATCTATCTGCATGGAAAAGAGCGATCAGCACATCTTCAAAACTTCTCCTTTTGTGTTCAACAGAAGAAAGTAAGTTATGCAGGTTTGGAAAAACAGGAGGCTGAGTAAATGAAGACCGGTTTTCCATTTATGGATGAACTGTCCCTTTAAGAAAAACTGCTGAGTAGCCATGCCCGCATCCATTCGCTTTAAAGAATCTCTTGCTTTTCAAACACCCCACCTCCTTCTCCCCCCACCCCGCTCACTCACTCACTCACTCACTCTCTCTCTCTCTCTCTCTCCCTCTCGCCATCTCCCCTTGGTGTGTCCTTGACAATGCGGCAAGCTGTACCAGAAATCCTTCTCTCTCCTTCCGTTCCTTCCTAACCTCCCTTTCTCTCTTTCTCATTCTCTTTCCACCCTCCACTCCCATTGCTCTCGGA